AGCGCGCCCGGAAGAAGAAAAACAGTAAGAAAAACCTCCATAACTCCGCTCAGAGAATCGTTCCGCAAATTTTGAAGATAGTTTTGAGTTCACCGTCTCAAGGCGAGTACAACGATGTGCATCTCATTGCAAATGGCCAGGCTGACCTGTTGACCTTTCCTGGTTAGAATTAAGCCGGATTTCCAATCTTCAAAGGAATACAAGGTCTTTCTCCCCTTTCGGGCCGCAAACTACCAACATACGCAACTGCGTGGTCTTCGTGCCGTGATCTTTACATTCCAACGGCAAGTCATGCAGCCAAAAACTGATAGTAACGCTCCACAGCTAGAGCATGCAGTAAAATCGGACTTCTGGAGCTGACTTGACAACTCAAAATTGTTGCGTATGCAAGGGAGAGCGCATAGAAAAATTGTCAAAATTGATTGCTCGCTTGCATAGCTGTCACGATTTTTGGGCTTTCAACCCTATACTTTTCAAGATTTAAACATTGAGTAGTTGGATATACAAAAATCTTTTTCTCCTCTTTGCTGTTTTTTCCTCTTTTTCTTACCTTTTTCATCTGGAACGTTTGGTTGTCTTCATTCAGGTATCGCTGCATCGAGGAATATGTGGATGAACACGGTAACGTCATCGAGGAAGGCGAAGAACACTTCACTACTGTAGCTCCTATTACGGATCCAACTCTAGGGCGATCACACTTTCAGTGGAAGTCAGCTTCGCAACAGCAAGGATACGACAAAGGTACTACAGAATTGTAACGATTTTTGAAGAGAACTTGGACTGAGCCAAAATCTGTTCCTTCTATAGATCCAAGGTTTTGTTTATTTTCAAGCCCTTGAAGCGGCAAGTGATTTGTAAGAATTTCCAGCCTTGTTTGCTAGAGAAAACCAAATTCCGAGCAAAAATTGGAGATTATCTAATTTCTTAAAAGTGCCACTCTTAGTTTTCCGCTAATGTAATCATTTAAGTCGTAGTGTGCAATTCCAATGAGTTTTCTGAGTGACCCATCTAGAAGTTCTCTGATTCTCTCGATCGTCTCCGCAACCGCATGCAAACTGACTGGGTTGACTAGTCAGGCGACTAGGTTTGACGCGGCGCAAGCTCCTTCTCCTATTGCTGATGACGAAAAGCGACAAGTGTGGTGGAAAAGGTTTAGGTGTTCATTTCAAGCAACCTTCCCCCTGACACTGTCATCCGCAACAAAATTGTAGAGCGTTTTTTAGACAACCCTATGCTATGCAGCAACTCCCTTGATAATTTAAATAGGGATTTTTTGTTTGTGCTCGCAGTAGGGCCAAGCAGACAAGTTCTGCCCGTAAATTCTTGGGTAAAAGAAGCGAAATGTCAAAATTCTATGTTGGATGATATTGGTTGACCGATTCTTTTTCAGTTATCCGACCCACCCAAGTCGCAGGCAAAAGGCGTTACGGCCTTCGTAATAAAGCAACCTAAACGAATCAAGGTGGGAGTTATAAAACCAGCCAGGGGAGCCAAAGTGACAGTGATAAGGAGAAAGCCGAAAACGAAGAAGAAAAAGCTTCATAACAGACGTCCTATACCTGACGAAGACCGCACAGGAATGCAGGTAAGCACATTGTTCAATTTCTGGATGTTAGGGCTATTATTACATTCCCAGAAGTTCAGAACGCTCTAGCTATCCAATAGGCCAACGCTTACGGTCACAAAAACTGAATCTCGCCGGAGCTCGAGAGAAATCACTGAATTCCAAAACAATGGCGGGCCCATTTTCACTCTGAAAATGCTCAGAGATGCCTTGACATCTCCCATCGAAAGTTGACTAAACGGACCAACCAGGTCAATGCTACCATCTTTGCGATGTTATTTCTCAATCATGAGCTTGATCACTCATTCACCTCCCATTTAACATTTCAAAATGTCAGTCTTTGCTAACAGTGTCAGGCATGGTTATACGTTTTTTTTACGTTGACGAGTCCCTGTCCCTCCCCCCGCCCCCCTCCCCACTGCACTGTTTGGGAAATTGCTGGCGTTCCAAGAGCTAAAGCAAAGCGGCAACGCTGACTATACCGGTACTATTAGCAGTGCGTCAATGCCGCGGCGAAAGCAGGTCCGCCTGTAGCCATTGCGACGCCATAGCCTCACTGAGAAAACATCATGTACAGTCATTCACTCATGCGGCCGGTGGGCGCTCAGTGCGGCTCCGTCTTCCGCGGTGATGAAGTCGTTCTGCACCAGTTGTTGAAGCGGGCAAGTGACATTACTGTATTATATCCTTCGTATTACTCGTTTTCTACCACTTTTTGTCGCATACGCGTTTCAACAAAAAAGGCTGAGAACGGCTTTCAACAGTGTGCGCACTCCTACTGGCTGACACGCCCCACCGGTCCGCAATGATAGGACTGTACTTCGCGAGACATTTTCATTCATCCAAATAAAACATCTTTTAAGAGAGTCTATCCGACCGAAGAACCGAGGTTGCGATCAACAACGACAGCTCCGTTGACAACGACGTCAACATACAGAAGCCCACCCACAACAGAAATCATAGAATGGACAGGAGAAGAGAATTCAGATGACACTATTATGAAGAAGTTTTTCCCACATATGCAGCTCACCTTTGACAGACCATCGAAAGGAGCTGCACGCAACAGTAGGATTTTTTATCATCGTTGGAAACTTTTTACAGTATAAATAATACGTTTATTATTCTATAGTACATATATGCAATTTTTGAGCCACTTTACACTGCGCTTTCTTTTTTGACGGATAGACTTTATTATTTGGGTATGGGCGTGAAAACGGCGGAAGTGGTGGAAATTTTGGTCGCTAGAAGGTGAAACGGTACGTTTCAATACGCTTACCGTTTTGAAAAATGGATGACATTGCCAACGAAGGTCACAATAAAGGGACGGTGATGGCGCTTTAAAGAGCGTCATCGACAATGAATTCTCGCTATTTAAGGGGTTGTGCAGTCTTACCTGATTGACGCACCACGTTCTGGTTCTCAGCGGTGCTACATCTGTGCCTAATTTTTTAATCGGCTTGGTTCTCTACTATTCACCTCCTTCAACAGTTTTGAGGGAATGGATTGTTCTTTCCTGCTTGTTCTTCCCTTGAGAATTGCGCGCGAGGGCGAGTTCGTAGCTCCACCAGAAACGCCTTTTTTATGGTAACCTGATTAACTGTGGATGGTACCAGTGTTTGGCGCTCCGTACAAATCTGAATCATAATTTGCCGAGTACTGCGTGCCCTTATGGTTCACTATAGGAAAGAAAGAAGGGGTGTAGTTGGTCGGCAAGGAAAGGAATTGTACCCGAGCTAGTGAGGAAGCGATGGTGGGCGATTAATTCCACTGAGCACCGCCGGGTGTCTCCATGCGAGAGTGGACTGCAGGCCTAATGCCGCTGATACTACAACTAGTTTCTAACCTAGAGTCACCAGGACTTTATGACGTACCAGTGAAAAGTTGTTCCCAATTTCATCTCCTTAGTAATTGATGTGGCTTTTCTATGTCCTCTCTTCCTGAATCTCGAGAGATTATGACGTTTGCCGAATTCCGCCATCATTAAGAAAAGCAGGTGTAAAGATCATCAACCACTTCCTGTACGGTGTGGACCTCGTGCATGATTCTGTAAATATCTTTCGCAACAACGCGGTTGATAGGTGAAGGTTCTATTAGACAACAATTTTAAATCCTAAGCCATGCTCATGCCTAATCCACGCTTGTCGTGAGGGTGGAGCCGAACCTACTATTTGTGGCTTTCTCGCTGCTACAGTAATCCTTCACAATCCTTCACCGCTTCTGTAAATATTGAATTAGAAGCATGTAGAACACGGTGTCAGGCCTACTCCCAACTCATGCGATAACCGCAGAAAAAACCTCTGGACCGAGTTTGGTCGAAAGGTTCGAGGGGTGCAAAGCTTTCTTTACGTCCCAAAATTCAATTTTCTTGAATCTTATTTTTAAATAACATTTGTACAGAAATATCAAACCTGGTAGCTCATACGAGTGAAGAAGATGCCACTTCTTCTATATGTCTCTGTGATATTCTTCTGTACAAATGTTATTTAAAAATAAGATT